AATGATATTAGCACAACTGTAGAAAACTTTCTGAGGGGTTTAACACAGAATTTTATTTCCTGGGTATGTAAGTTCATTTGTATATGTCTAATTGACAGCAGGCCTTATATTATTCAGGATGCAAGATCCTCTGTTGTGTGCAATGACCAGCTCTGAGTCCTCAGTCTTTTCCTGCCAGCTGAAAGAGAGAAAGTGAAAGATGCCTGAGAGGATTTTTTGGGGGCGGAGAGGAAGCCCTTGAAGTGGTGCAGATCCCTTCCACTCAGACTGAGATGCTTTGTTGCTGTGAGCTAGGAGGAAGCAAAGGTGGCTTCCAGGAGAGCTCATCCGTCTTAGCTATGTGCTTTAGCACATGAACAGCACCTTTCCCTCCTGTTGAGGAAGTTGAATAAGGAATCTTAATTTATTGAGGGAGTAACACAGATTTGGGGGGTCTAGGTTTAAATCCCCAATCTGCAATAATTAGTTGCTTGACCACAGAAAAGTTTCTTTTTTTTTTTTTTTCTTAAAGATTTATTTTTATTTACGCATATAAGAGCTGGTGTACAGGCCAGAGATGCAGGAGGTGAGAGGATTCACCAGAGACAGAGTGGGGAACAGAACAGGCGGACTGAATGAAATACACTGCTGAGGGGAGCAGTGGGCAAGTCAGGAGAGGTCTGCTGCGCCATGTGGATTGCTTCCTGGCTCGCTGGGGATTGAACTCTGTGCTGCAGAAGCTGTGGATTGCTTCACAGCTCGGTGCTTAATCCCTTGTACCACCAGGGAGGCCTCCACAGACAAGTTTCTTAACTTTGATGAACTGAGAACACTTACCTGAAGGTATGGCGAAGATCAAGTGACTTAATATATGAAAAGCTTGGCACAGTGCTTGGCACACAATAGGTGCTGTGTTAGTGCTGGTTGTTCTGTCTGCATGTCAGCTCCGCTTCATTCAGAACTCAGCTTTGGAGAGTCTTGTCTGACTAGGCAGGCAGAATTCTGTTTTCTTCACTCTGTTTCCATAGAGCATTGCATTTCTCGCATTGAGTTACAAGGTGAGAGTGTGCATGTTGTCTGCCTCAGGCTTCTGGCCTGAGGGCAGGGGCTGGGCTGCATTAATTTTGCCTGTGCTTGTCCCCATAACTAGCATGGTGTCATATCCATTGTAGATAGTCAGATATTTGTTGGTGAAAATGAGAAGATTCTATTTCCTTAGCACGCTCAAAGGCAAGGAGTTCACTTTATTAGCTTTGACTTTTCATGACATTTGATTTGGACAATACTAGGTTTAAGTGACAGAACACTGTATACTTTCCATGGTCCAGTCCACCCAAATTGTACCCCTGGGACCAGCAGCTCTTTTGCCCAGATTCTGATTATATTTTTCTGGCATGTTGGTGGCATAACTTCTCGTATACAGGGGTACAGGTAGGAACGTGACAATCCAGTTTCAGTTTATGTTATCAGCATTAGTCTGGGTAGAACTCCTTTCTTGCTTCATTCAATCATCCACTCCTCTGTTCTATCAGCATTTCATTCCCTTAGGAAAGCAGTATCGCTTGCTTATGTGAATCTTCAAATTTACATGTATCCTTGGCTAATAGATAAAAAATTGTATTGGAGGTGTGTATTTTTACTCGGCATTATGGATTTTTTTTGCCCTATTTAAAACTTTATATTTCAATTTTTTTAATCAGACAGAAATTTGAAAAATGTTACATACACAACTGTATATTAACCTAAGTTCTCTCTTTAATAATGTATATGTTGATATAGGTGTATATGTACTTCCTTATATTCATTATTTTGAACCCTTGAGAGTAAGTTGCTGACATCATGATCCAAGTATTTAAGAACATACAGCTTCAGAACAAGACAGTTACTTCAATATGTGCCACCCAATTCTCAAAATCAGGACATGAAAGTTCAACTTAATACTATTTTATAATCTACACTTCTGATTCCAATTCCACCAAATTTTCCACTAATGCTTTCTATAAGAATTTTCTTTCTTGCTCCAGAGTCCAATCCAGGATCCTGCCTTGGGTTAAGTTTTTAATTTAACTTGCAAATGTGCCTCAGCTGTTCTTTATTTTTCATGACATTGATATTGGAAAGAGCACAGGCAGTTACTGGGTGGAATGTCCCTCACACTGGGTTTGTTTGCTGTTTTCTCATGATTAAATTTCCTGTGTTTGGGTTTTCAATTATTTTTGTTAACACATTTTAAGCCATCTTCATTTTGCTATGTCTGCATCCAGTGTGTTGGTTTCCGCCTGCTGCCTGGCATTCCTTGGTAAGGACTGCCTCTTCGGTTGAGTTGACAGAGCCGCCAGGAAGGCCACACCAGCAGACTTTCTTTGGCATCAGAAAGGGATCCTGACGAGTTGCTATCTGACCCTGGAAATCAGCACTCCCCTTTGATACAGGCAATGCTTTAGTTGATAATGGACCTCAGATGTTTGCTTCCTCAATGATTTCTAAGGCACAAGGGGCTTTTATGCTTGTGGAAGATAAGGCAGGATAGGAAGTTGATCCTTCTGACTGTCCATTCTTTCATTCATTTATGCACTTCATAAACATCCGAATAAGGGACAGCTCTGCACTTTAGAGCTCCCTTTGTAGTGTCTTGAAAACCAAAGAAGAAAGTATTAGAATTGAAAGCTTGGACAAATGCAGATGTTTTAAGCGATGGTTTAAGGTAAATAGTTGGACAACATTTTCAGTTTTGATGAGTTTATAACCTTATGGAAAATTATACTTCTGCCTCTTCACTTAAATACAACGATTTCTGTTTCTCTCTGGCCTCTTCTGAAATTCACCAACATGGAACATAAGTTTCCAATCTTTATCTCCATAATTCATAAATAATTTTACATTCCACTTTCCTCCAGTGAAAATTATTTTGTATATTCTTCTCCATATTTCATAACTTGCATATTTATCATTCTTAACGACTGCAGTAAATTCTATCAAGCTGATCTGCTATAACTTATGCATTTCTCTTTTGGTGTAAATTTGGCTTGTTTGTAGTTTTTCACAAACATGAGAAATAAACTTTTTTTAAGGAAAGAAAAAGCATGTTCTGGTGTTAAAGCAGTTTTGACAAACTGATCTAAAATGGTTCATTACAACATACAAAAAGATTGAAATTTTTGGAGAGAAATACAGCCTATCTTTTTAAAGCAAAGTTATTGTATCTTCATGTTTTAATCTAGTTTGTAGAGAAGGACCTGATATACTTAGAGCTTTGCCAGTTGAACACCTTGTGTGATTGTTAGGAAACAACATATTTTCAGTGAGGAACAGGAGAGTAATGGATGATGCAACTATGATACGAGGTGCAACTTGATGACTTCCATCTCTGACAGTCCTGCCATCACTCACTTGTCTTGACACAACTGTACCATCTTTCTGTTCTCTGAGCTTTTCTTCTGAGAGCTACTGGAGGAATATGTCATCCTCTGGCAGAAGACAGGGTGTTTCATCTGGCTGGGGGGACTGATTAGTTATTAGACCTTTAAACCTACGTGGGGATGACTCCACTCTCAGCTCGGAGTTGGGACTGAGAAATTCAAGGAATAGATAGGACCAGCATGAGGAATTACAATTCAAGGATGTGCCAGGTAGCTCAGCCCCACCCACAATCTTTGGAGCATCCAAGGACAAGTCTCCACTCAGACAAGCTCTCCCTCCCCTTAGCAACATCCAGGTGCTGAGTGGCACCTGACAGAGGTGTGGGGAAAGAAGATGGCCCTCAGCTGGTAGTAGGAACTATTTCCGAGAGAGCACATATCTAAAGATTTGTGAGGTCTGGAAAGGAACTTGGTAGGGCAGAACAATCAAGGCAACTGAGTTTTTTAGTAGGTTCTGTAGATACCTTCAAAGACCCCAGGGTGGTTGCCTTTTCTAGGTGATGTTGTCATATATCCTATGAAAATTTCTTCCCGTACAGAAATTATACTGCTCCGTGAGGGCAGGGTTTTATGTATCCAGTTAATTGCTCTCTTTCCTGTTGACTCATGAGAAATTCAACATAAAAAGTGCTCATTAAATACTTATTGATTGGATGGTGATATCAGTTATTTGATTTTGCAGACGAACCATATTATCTGGGCAGCTGCCACCCATTTGTTTAAAGGCTAGAGAAGGGAAGGAGTGCCAGCTAAATAAACCAAAGCCAGGGAGTAGTAGAGTATAAAGGACTTTGGAGCCACGCAAATGGGGATACTTATCCCCACTCTATTGCGCTCTGGGTTTCTTAACTTGGTTGACCCATTTACATTCTTGGAATGTCGGCCTTTTTACCTGTAATGGGGAGAAGACCACTCTAGTCAGAGATTGTGAAAAGTTCATTGCTCAAAGTAGACATTCAAAAATGTTACCCTCTTCCTCACTTCCTGGCAAAAGGGGTAAAGGCAGAGTGAGCCAGGAGGAATGCAGATAATATGTTGAGGTGTTGGAAGAAGTCATATTATGCTTCTTGACCTATTAGCTCACCTGGACCTCAGGAGGCTTCTTATCCTCCTGCCTGTTCTTAGAATGTACATTCTGCCAAACATTTCTAACCTGGGAGTCACTTCACGATCACAGTATTGAGAGAGTTACTGAGGCCAGGTGGTCTGTAAACCACACTGAACCCCATATGGCCTCCATAGAAACTGAAGATTCCAGAGGGTGGGTGGGAAATACACCTGCTATGTAAGTTCCCTTATTAACACTTCCACTGACCAATGCAGAATGATGTGCCTCTATTTTCAGTCTCTCCTTGCATTCTGTGTACGGAGCTAGTTTCAAATTTCACCTGGGGGAACTTGCAAGATTGCACACCAACACCAAGTGTTGTCAAGAAGTAAATAACTAGCTATTTACTAGTTACCTATCTTTTAAAATGTGCCCCATGTTGGCTCTGTCTGTCATAGCAGCAGCTAATGCCATGAGTACTTCAAACAGCATGTGTACCTTTCTGGTTCTGCTTTGAGCTTCTCTGTTACTAACTGAGTTCTTTGTCCATACAGGATTTATGAACGAGTGATAGACCCTCCTGAGACCAGTCTTCCCCCAGGAAGCAATTTATGGCTGGGTCAGCGCAACCAAAAACATGGGTTATTCAAAGTAAGCCCTACTTTAAACTTTTGGTGTGTGCTTTTCTGTGTGTTCAATGTGAATTAAATCAGATAATTGTTACAAAGATTCTATGAAGTAAGTTCTTCATAACAAGGCAGAGTTAAGTGATTTGCCCAAGGTCATGTATTTCACTCTGCTGTCAGGTTTGGATAATGGAGAATGTAAATGATCCTCAAAATGTTTATCATTGTCCTAATTCTTAGAATTTAGGATCATCTTTAAATTGATTTCCATTTTCAGAATATCTCTTTCAGTCAGTTTGTGGTAGGTATCTTAGATATACAACAGGGAATGAATCTCAGTTTCTATGAGCTTTGGTTTTCTTGTATATAAAGAGGTTAATATAACTGCATTATTATACTTCATAGAACATGAGGATCCAGTGATAATATGAATTGAAGTTAAAAAAGATCATGAAGTTTTAAGACAGTCTTGTTCTCAGTACAGCAGACGTTTGTTTCTGGCGTTGTGGTAGACTAGATATTTTAAACATCCTCCTGCTTCAAAATGCCTCTAAATGCTAGATAAAGCAGAACAAAATTCTTTTAAGATTCATATTAAATTTATAAGAAGGGAGGCCCTGTAAGACTAAACATATGGAGGGAAGTGAGAACCAGAGGTATGTCTGCCTATCCCAGGAATTGAAAGTTAAATGTACAATCTGCCCTCTATCCATGGGTTCTAACAACACTATGTCTGTCCTGTACATAGTGTCCTATGTTTATCCTATACAGACTTTTTTCCTTGTTATTCTCCAAACAATACAATAAGCATGAAGCACTTACATTGGATTATAAGAAATTGAGAGATGATATAAACAATATGGCAGGATATGCAAATATGCCATTTTATATAAGGGACTTGAGCATTTGTGGATTTTGGTGTCTGTCAGTTCTTGATACCAATACCCATACTGAGGGACAGCTGTATAGGTGTATAATCTCTCTCTCGCTCTCTTTCTCTTTCTCCCTCTTCCCTCTCTCCCCCTCCATCCATCCCAACTTTATTGAGATGGTCATTGGCATAACATTATATAAGTTTAAGGTATACAATGGGTTACTTTTATATAGTGCAAAATGACTAGCACTATAGTGCTAGCTAACATCTCCATCATATCACATAATTACATGTTTTTTCTGGGTGAGGACATTTAAGATTTGCTTCCTGTAGTATTTTCAAGTATATAAATCCACTGGTTGCCTAGTGGATCATATGGGAGGGTTATGAGTGCTCTGGAGTTGGGTGTAGTGTGGTAAAATATACTTCAAAAGGCATGCATCCTTAAGCCTAAAAATATATACAGTGTTGCAAATCAATGTTACCACAATAAAAGAACTGAAATTGAAATAATTGAAATTAAAAAAAAAATTAAAGACAAAACTGTAACTTTCCAGAAGAAAGTGCACAGAGAATTGTTGAAAAGATAACTTGTTCAGGGCCTCCCTGGTGGCGCAGCGGTTGAGCTCTGGGTTGCGAAGCTGCCTGCAGCCTCAGCAGCGCCAGTTCGATCCCCGGCCCCCGGGTTAGGGTCCCAGGTGGTGTGCAGACCTCTCCTGCCACCCGCTGCTCCCCGCAGCATTGTATTTCGTCAGTCTGTGTGTTCTGCTCCCTGCTCTGGCTCTGGTGAATTCTCTCACCCTCCTGCGCTTCTGACTGTACCCAATGCTTGTAAAAATAAATAAATTAATTAAAAAAAGATAACTTGTTCATAACAGGCAGAAACCGAACTTATAATCGCATATTTAAATAATAATAATGATTTTGGAAAAAATGAAATTAAAAATATTAGTCAATGAAATTATAAAAGGCATGATCTGATTTAAAGTGTTCAAAGTCTGTCCATTGATATGAAAATATATATGGGGGTGGGGAGAACGTGGTGGAGCGTGGTGGAGGACTGTGGGCGCTTTGCAGTGGGAAGGCTATGGTGACCGTACCTGAGCAGAAATAGCCTAAATTGTGAAAAATAAAGATGCTTAAAAAAATAAATAAATGAATAGAGAAATAGGTTAAATTTAAAGCATGCATGTTAAAAATTTAAAACAACAACAAAATAAGAGAAATAGTATAAAACCTCCAAATTGAAATATAAGATAAATCAGGAATTTCTTTAAAAGCCCTGTCAACCCAGGAGAAGGCCAGAAGAGACAATGCATCTGATAAAAGCTAGTAGTTACAATTCTGCTTCACAACATTCACTATCAAATTAAGTGGTTTGCACTGTCACAGAATTACATTGGAGTCATAAAATTGAAATTGTATTGTATGTATTAAATGAAGTAAAAAAATAACAATTCATAAATGTTGAGAGTGAAAACAAAAACAATTATAAACCAGAGGCATTCTTCAGGGGAGGAGGAGGGAGAGAGATCAAACGGAGGGAGGGAGAGGCACAGGGGACTGTGGTGAAGGTGCAAGGGTGCATTGGGGAAGGAAATTCTATGGGGACTACACATGGGAGTGGGGAGGGGCAAGCAAACATTGTTTAAAAATGAACAATGATGTAAAAAATATAAATTAAAATTTAAAAAGTTGATAGTGAAAAAAAACAAATCAGTCTAATTAGGCATGAGAAAGTTGTAGAGGCTGAGGCAATAGAAAACTTCCAGAGCAAAAAGTTTAGCATGAATTGATTAACATTCTTGATGGTGTATATCCCTAACATCTAACCTGAATATGTATATTGCACTGTTAAAGAATACTGGTGAAGTTTGGTCTCAGTCAGGGTGTTGGGGCAACTGAATATCTCTATGGCAAATACCTATGACATTTTTCCCCCACACTATATGCAAAATCAATCACAGGGTATTTTATTTTAAAAATTTTTTTTGAAGATTTATTTATTTCTGTAAATAAGACCTGGATGAGATGCAGGGGGTGAGAAGATTCACCAGAGACACAATGGGAAACAGAACAGGTCGACTGACTGAAACACACTGCTGCTGGGAGCAGTGGGCGAGACAGGAGAGGTCTGCTGCACCATGTGTATTGCTCTCTGGCTGGCTGGGGGTCGAACTCATGCTGCAGAGGCTGTGGATTGCTTCATAGTGCGGTGCTTAACCCTTTCGCCACCAGGGAAGCCAATCCCAGGGATTTTAGATCTAATTCTGTGAGAGGTAAACCAATACAGCTTAAAAAGTTAGCATAGACAAATATCTTTATGACCTTGATGGAAGAAAAATTATCTCTTAAAGAAGACATAAATGTAATAACCATAAAGAAAAAAGGTCGATGTATTGCAATAGATTAAAATTTGGAACATTTTTCAAAATAAGTGGCCAAGAGTTAAAGGGCATGCCATTGAATAGAAGAAATTATTCAAAGTAGTTACATCCTACAGAGGCAGAAGAGGAAGAAATCTGAGTTAAGTGTCATCCTTAAGAAGAGAAAGACAATTAGAATAAATCAAAGAAAATAAAAGGCATTTTAAAATAAGCATATAAGAGCAGAAATTGATAAAATGATGAGTAAGATAAAGTGGATCAGATCAAAAAAGTCTAAATACAGTCCTTTAAAAAGACATTTGGAAGTTTCAGTAAGGACAAAATGAGAGAAGGCACAAAAACAGAATAAAAAAATAATAAACTGCAAAAGTAGTAATCCTTTATTAACAAATTTCTGTTAATAAAATGGAAAATTATACAAAAAGGACAATTTCCTAAAAATAGATTATCAAAAGCACTTAAGGGATAGTCTTAGAATCATTCAAGTATTTTAAAGAGTTCATGATTCAAAATCTATTGTTCCCAGTTACCTTTGGGTGAATTGCAAATAGACTCAAGGCATAGTGATTTGGAACAATGATGCACCAGCTGAGTGGTTCTGTATTCTCAGGGACTCATAAGATTAGGTCAGCTGCTAAATTTTCTGGGGGTGGGCTGTACTAGCATCGCCTAGTTTGGGTGGTTTATCTGCTTTGCATGATCTGTGATTTTCTAGCATCCTAATCTGAGTTTGTATACATAGTGGTGGATTAGGATTTCCTGAGCCAGATCAGATGTGTGCACGGGTTTTGAAGCCTAAACTTGAAATTTACACACCTTATTTATTGTCCAAGGCAAGTTACAAGGTCAGAATCAAAGGGAAACAGACTCTACCTTTTAATGGGATATGTTACAAAGTCATATTATACTGGGATTGAATCCAACAGGGAAAGCAGAGGAATGTGTTCACTTTTAAAACTATCATTTCTCTTCATGAAAAACCTCTCTGTTTAGACAGTTTTACAGGGGAATTCTGTCACATCAAGGAAGTAATTCCCACCTCATATAAACTCTCCCAGAGGAAAAAATAAATGACACTACCCATCTCACATATGGGGACAGTGTGACCTTGATTCCCAAACTTGATTCCCAAGAACTGTATAAGAATGGACATGGGCATGTCAGTTTACTTTTAAACAGAGTGGATTGAAAATTCTAAACAACATATTAACAAATTGAATCCAGGAGGTAGGAGGTTATGGCAGGAGAGAGAGAGGAAGAATGTATGAAAGCACAAGTCATTTAGATGATGCAAGTATGTTTTTATAATCAGGAAATCTATTGATATAATTAGTTGCATTAAACAAAAAGAAGTGTAAAAATCACTAGATGAAACCTAATACCAACACATGATAAAAATATTCTTAGAAAAATAGGAATAGAAGAAACTTCATTAAACTGATTTAAAGTGCATAAATTAGATGTATGTAAGAATCAGACTTATGGGCCTCCCCAGTGGCGAAACGGTTGAGTGCTCGGCTGCAAAGCTGCCCACAGCCTCTGCAGTGCCGGTTTGATCCTGGCCACCGGGCGAGGGTCCCACATCGCACTCAGACCTCTCCTGCTGTGCCTGCTGCTCCCCTCAGCAGTGTATTTCGTCGGTCTGCCTGTTCTGTTCCCCGCTCTGGTGAATTCTCTCACCCTCCCGCGTTTCTGACTGTACCCAGTGCTTGTATAAATAAATAAATAAATAAATAAATCTTGGAAAAAAAAAAAAGAATCAGA